AAAGAAACTAAAATTATACATTGGAAAAAAGAAAGCATCTTCAACAAATGATGTTGGAATAACTGGATGCTGACATGTAGAAGATTGCAGATCGATCCATATCTATTACCATGCACAAAACTTAAGTCTAAAAGGATAAAGACCCAACATAAATCTATCCACACTAACCCTCCTAGAAGAGAAAGTGGTAAGTACCCTTGAAAGCATTGGTACATGGACACCACTTCCTGAACATAACACCAGTAGCATAGACACTGAGTTTGACAATTAATAAATGGGACCTCCTGAAACTGAGAAACTTCTGTAAAGCAAAGTACACAGTCAGCAAGACAAAATGGCAGCCCACAGAATGGGAAAAGATTTTCACCAATCCCATATCTGACAGAAAGCTCATGTCCAAAATACACAAAGAACTCTAGAAACTAGACATCAAAACACCAAATAATCCAATTAAATAATGTGGTACAGTTCGAAATAGATAATTATCAGCAGAGGAATATCAAATGTCTGAAAGGCATTTAAGGAATTGCTCAACATCTTTAGTCAGCAGAGAAATGCAAATCAAAACAACTCTGAGATACCATCTTATGCCTGTCAGAATGGCTAAGACCAAAAACACTAAGCTTATTCTGGAAAGGGTGTGGAGTAAGCTTAACAATCCTCCATTGCTGGTGGGAATGAAAACTTGTACAATCACTTTGGAAATCTGTATGGTGGTTTCTCAGGAAAATGCGAATCAGTCTATCTCAAGATCTAGAAATTCTACTCTTAAGCATATATCCAATGGATGCACATTTGTACCACAAGAACATTTGTTCAACTCTGTTCATAGCAGCATTATTTTAATAGCCACTGTGGGGTCTGTGCCATGAACAAGTCCAAGGTATAGGAAAATGAAAGACAAGATGTCCAACCGTTTGTGTTAAGAAAATTCTTCTGCTGCCTTTATTACCAGAAGAATGTGTGTGTCTATGTGTGTGTGTGTGTGTGTGTATGTGTGTGTGTGCATGTGTGTGTGTCTTTATTGCAATGCTAAGAGGTCTCTATCCCTCATAGAGAGGGAGCAGGTTTATATACAGGCTTACAGGACAGTGGAAAAGCCCCAAGAGGAAGAGATTGTGTTTTCCTCATGTTAAATGTTGATGCCAGTGGGGAAAGGTAGGGGCAGTAAGCCAGGACTCAAAAACAGGATGTACTTAGACTGGAAAACAGGATACACCTGTTGACTGACCAGTGACTCACAGAGACCGCTTGGGGGCTAGGGCCCAACAGCCCAAACCAGAAAGCAACCTAGATGCCCTTCAAATGGAGTATGGATAATAAAATGTGGTACATATACAGCAAAACAAAATTACATCTTTAAATTCCAGGCAAATGAAGAGAATTGAAGAAATTATCCTGATTGAGGTAACCCAGACACAGAAATAAAAACATGGTATCTACTCAGTCATAAATGGATATTAGACATAGAGCAAAAAATAACCAGCCTACAATTCACACCCTAGAGAAGCTAGGAAGCAAGGAGGACTCTAAGAGAGACATACATGAACCCACCCGAGAAGGGGACATTGATAAGAACTCCTGAGTAAGTTGGGAGCATGGGGGAAGGGGAGGGTGGGAGGAGAGAAAACAGGAGACAAGGGGAGTGGGAAGGAGAACCTGAGGGATAATGAAGGTTGAGTTGGGGGGAAGACAGAAAAGGAAAAATATACCTTGATAGAAGGAGCCATTATAAGGTTAAGGAGACACCTGGCACTAGGGAAATTCCCTGGAACCCACAAGAATGACCTCAACTAAGACTTAAAACAATAATAGAGAGGGTACCTTAAATGCCCTTCCCATATAATTGAAGTGGGTGGGACTATGGGCCATAACAACCAGTTTACCAATCAACACAGGGCAGGTCATCAAAACCTGGAAGTGCACCAATCCTGAGAGTGTTTCATACCCCTAGACACTTCCCTTACTTTGCCCTTTAAGATCTTTGCCTTGCAGATTTTTTGAGTCTTTCTCTAGCCATCTGGCATGGTGGATGGATGAAGAGCCCAAGCTTATGGGTTAGCTTGTTAATCAACTACAATAAAAGACTCTTTGCTGTTGCATCGAAATGGGTGAATTGGTGATTTTGAGGTTCAGAATTTGGGCACAACATTTTGGGGTTCAATATGTGGGCAAAACAATAATAAGATTTATGACTATCTTTAATGCCATCATAGAGCATCCATCTAGTAGTTGATGAAAGCTGAAACAAAGATTCACATCTAAGCACTGAACTGAACTCTTGGAGTTCAGTTGTAGAGAGGGAGGACTGATGAGCAAAGAGGTCAAGACCTTGTTGAGGAAACCCACAGAAACAGTTGACCCAAGTAATCAGGGCTCACTGACTCCAGAATGACAGCTGGGGAACCTGCATAAGACCAAACTAAGCCCCATGAATTTGGATGTCAGTTGGGGGTTTGGACAGTTAATGGAGCCACTATGGAACCAGTATTTATCCCTAGTGCATGAATGGGTTTTTTGGGAGTCCATTCTCTTTGGAGAGTCCTGCAAGCCACAAGATCATACCGAAATTATATACCTTTGCATCACAAATAACTTAGAAAAATTAAGGATTCTTCTGATGGATGAAAGAGTATAAAGCTGTACTTGACATTATGATATAATGAATGAATTGGCTGTTTCTTGCTGTAGATTCTTCCTGTAGCTTATTCCTTTAGGTAACAAATTTGGGATTTACATCCCACAGTTCAGCACCATCTGATCTTTTACTGGGAACAAATTTCTCCCATACATTTAGAGTTTTTCTGATTATATTTCCTAGCTATGTATCAATACCTGTTCTCCATTAGCAGGTCCTCGCTGACTGATTATATTTCTCAGCTGTGTGTGAGGCCTGTTTTCCACTGTCAGATCCTTGTTCCCCTCTCCATTGCAATTGCAGAGATCTGCCTTCTTGCAATTACCTTTATTGACAGGCATTTGGTCAGTGTTTAGGGCCCAGGCAAAAGCATCCCATCCAAGACATTCCCAAATATCCAAGGACATAGAATTACTACACATCCAAAGTTGTTGATTCATAGTTGCTTAGATGGATAGAAAAAAATAAGCAAGCCCTTGGCTTTGCCTCAATGGCAGATAGAGAAGTGATAACCTAAACTAACACTGCACTAAAAGATTCTCAGACTTCTTGATGTATTAACTGAAGATTTTAGCTCAGAGATTTACTGCTTCCTCCTTTTTCCACTGAGAAAATAAAGACAAAGTTAATCAGCCCATTTGCTCATGCTCAGGGAAAAGCAAACTTTCCTGAAGGCCTGTGCAGCCACTGAGGCCAGAGCACTGGAAGGCACCAGGTTTTGTTTCTTTTGCAAATTAAACTTAGACCCTCTTTGACTTATAGTCCTAAGTAATTGATGCTAAAATTTTCTTCTAGCATTTTGGCTTATTGCTGTGTGTGTAAATCTTATCTGCCTTGCTGACCCTGAGAAACTTAAGCCTCACATTGTATTGTAAAAAGAATTATTGTTGCAAACTTTTATATATAGCTACTTGGGGTAGACAAGAATTTGAGAGACAAAGAAACAGAAAGGAGAGTTAGAGAGAAAAAGAAGGCAAGAATTGGAGAGGCAAATAAATGGAGAGATAGACAATAACAGGGAAATAGAACAGCAGGAGAGAAAGAGAACAGAAAAGAATAAGGAGCACGCAGAGGAGCAACTGTATGTTAGTCAACTTCTTTTTCCCCCAGATTTTAGCTCCCTCGCTTACTTGTAGTTCCTTTTTTTAAACCCTGAGTGAAAATTTTAGAAGCTGGACTTTTAAAGTTTTTTATAGGAGAGATACTCTTGTGCCCAAATTCTGAAACCCCCAAATCACCAAGAGGCCCATTTCTATGCAAAAGCAAAGAGTATTTTATTGCAGATGTTTAACAAGCTAACACCATTAGCTCGGGCCCTTCACCCCACAACCATGGCGAATGGCTAGAGAAAGACCCCAAGCAACCTTGAGGCAGGGATATTAAAGAGCAGCATAAGGGGAGTATCTAGGGGTATGAAACAGTCTCAGGATTGGTGTGCTTCCAGATTTGGGTGACCCACCCTGTGTTGATTGGTCAAGTGGTTGTTATGGTCCATAGGCCCTCCCAGGGCAGTTGCTATGCTCTCTACATCACTGTTGTGCACTTGTCCATAAAGCACACCCAGATCTGTAAAGCACAGCCCCACCATCTAACTTCTGATTGGTTCCTTGTCACGAGGAGGGCATCTGACCTTAGTGACCAGGACAGGAGTGGCAAGGTCATGCAAGCACATGTTAGCCTGTAATGGCTGCTAAAATGGAGGACTGGTCACTACACTCTCTCAGCCTAGATACACAGGGGAGGGCCTCAGTCCTGCCCCAAATGATGTGACAGACTCTGATGATCCCCCATGGGAGGCCTCACCATCTCTGAGGAGTGGGTGGGCATGGGATGGGGAGATGATGGGAAGAGTAGGAGGACAAGAGGGATAGGGAACTGAGACTGGTATGTAAAATAAAAATTGTTCTTAATTTAATTAAATAAAAATGTATTATGCTGCAATCACTTTTATTCATAAGTAATGTTAAGTATGAGTTTTATAATTACATATTTTTGACATAATCCTAATTTGAGGATGAATCAATATGCTTTCTGTTCATCATGAATCAGAACCTTAGATCAAAATATATGGAGGCAACCTGTAGAGATTTTGAAAAGTGATGGGTAGACACAGAAAATGAAGTAATTAAATCTATGTTCTTGCCATTGATTATTGTGTCAGGGCACAGCAATTCTGGTTTAGGAGTTTTGAATGCACTACTTTGCAACTGTGGCAGTGGTCTCTCAGGTTCCAAGTTAATCACTATATATCAATACAAGTTTATACTAGAGAGAAGAAATGAGTTAAACAATACTTTAAATGAACATTGAAACTGTATTAGTAATAAGCATATTTATTTCTGATCAAATGTCCATTCATTCTTTATACCAACAATGTTTTTTTTGAGCAACTGGGAAAATTGATGTGACCATCAATGCACTTTGTACGGAATGGAGGAGATGGATTTGTCGGCTTATATCCATATTTACACACAAATTCAACATAGGCCCCAGATTGGAAATATAGCTTTTGGCCTTTTCTCCATTTGAATGTTATGTTATAGATATTCATAGTCTCTTCTGATATTACACATGGATCTGAAAGAAAAAATCATCAAAAATTTATTAATACATAAACCTACAAAGGCTCAATTGTCAAGCATTATTCCTTAAAGATTTTTAAAAGCTTTATTAAATCAGCACATAGAATTATTTCATATTGGATAGCAAATGGTGTCAAAACAATGTTTTAATGTGATAATTAGATTTCAACAACAATGATTCCTAATGTCATGAAATAAGACACTTAGATTTTAGGGACTGAAGGTTGTTTGCATTGATTTAGGTACTGTGCAAAGGTAAAAAAAATCGAACCTTGACATGCGTATGATATTCAGACCGAATGTGTACACTGAAAAGTGAGCATACTGTGAGATGAGTATACTGAAAAATGCTGCTCTTAGAAAGGCAAAATTTATTTATTTATTAGCAAATAGAATGTTTGTTCTTTTTTAGTTTAAATTAGAAACAACTTGCTTCACAAGTCAATCCCAGCTCCCCCTCCCTCCCCTCTTCCCTGACCCTTCTCTGCCCCCCCATCCTCATCCCATACCCCATCCTCTCCCCAGGGAGGATGAGGCCCTCCATGGGGGATATCCAAAGTCTGCCATATCATATGGGGCAGGACCTATCCCCTCCCTCATGTGTCCAGACTGAGAGAGCATCTCTCCATGTGTAATGAGCTCCTAAAGTCCATTCATATGCCAGGAACAAATACCGATATACTACCTAAGACCCCATAGATTTCTGAGGCCTCCTCGCTGACACAAAAAGCCAAAATTTAGCTATCTGCATAATGTTCATTATTCACTCACAAAGTTGTAACTATTAATAGTGATTTTGTATTATGAATTTGATTTTCATATTTTATAAGTAAATCTTTCAGATTACCACACTGGATAAATGACTAACCTGTCTGCAAAGCAGCTTCCACTACCACAACCCTGGCACCTGGCCTTCCTTATATAGAAAACCAAGAGGATATAATACCCAAATCTATGCTGTCTCCAAACAATTCATATAGTGCTGCCATCCTGTCCCACAACACAACTGATTATACAATACTTCTAAGGCTAGGACTAAGCAATGCAGAGAGGATGCCAAAGTTCCATAACCACATCTCTCTGCTGAGGGTTTCAGAAACAATGACCCTTGTGATAGCAGATCTGTCAATTATAGTTTCTGAGAAAACCGGCATCATTTTCCATGAGCCACCACAGTCACTATAGGAGTCTTGACATAACAATCACCCTGCACCCTGTGCTGTATACCATATACCTGAGCTGGTAAGTGTTTTAGTGCAAAAATTGTCTTAAAAATTTGTTTCAAAGCTGGTAAGTGGTGGCTCATGCCTTTCCGGAGGTAAAAACAGGCAGATCTACAGAGTGAGTACCAGGACAGCCAAGACCACATGGAGAAACTCTCAAAAATAATTGTTTCAGATATTTTAGAATTAATCTTTTAAAAATAGATATACAACAAAAATGATTTACAGTTTTAATGAAAATCAAAATGGTACATTATATAGGCATAAGAAAAATGTATCAGAAATCTTACATAACCACAAAAAAGCTGAAAGCAATGCTAAATATTAAAAACACTGTGGGAGGAATCCTAATATTCAAACTCAGTTTATAATCAAAAGCTATAGAAATGAAGGCAGACTAATACTAGCATAAATATATTCAGGTATATCAAAGAACAGGAATAGCAGACAAGCTATGACTGCCAATTTGGGAGACAGGAGACAAAAATGTGTTCAAAAAAGAGAATGTATATGATGTGGGAAGTCCTGTGATTATGTCAATAAAGCACTGTTGGGCCAATAGGGAACCAAGATAGGTGGTACTAGGAGTCCAGGAGGACTCTGGGTAGGAGAAACACGGAGAGTCGAGATGTAACACCATGGGGTAGGAAGCCTGGAAACTTCTCCGGTAACAGACATACTTAGATTAACAATTATGGGGTAATTACTTAAGTCAGAGCTAGCCAGTAAGAAACAAGCAAGGCCCTATAGACAAGTATTGCTGGAAAAGGAGGATTGCTAACCATAAAAGATTGAAATTAGAATTTTATCTTTCACCTTGAAACAAAATCCATTCAGAATGGATCAAAGATCTTAAATTTAAATAATAGACAAATCACTGAAACTTTTAGAATAGAACATTGGACATCCACTTCAAGATACTGGGATAGATAAGAACTTTTAACTATAACACCAGCAGAACAGAATGTAACACCAAGTATCATCAGATGGAACTATTTGAAAATACAGTTTCTGCATAGCAAAGGAAACACTCAACAGTGCAAACTCAGCCTACAGAGTGGGAGAAAATCCTTATCATCAACACTTCAGGAAAGGGTCTAATACCTAGACTCTACAAAGATTTAGAAAACTTTAAAACCGGCGGCTGGAGAGATGGCTCAGTGGTTAAGAGCACTGACTGTACTTCCAAAGGTCCTGAGTTCAATTCCCAGCAACCACATGGTGGCTCATAACCACCTCTGATGCCCTCTGCTGGCTTGCAGACAGAAGATTGTATATATAATAAATAAATAAAATATTAAAAAAAGAAAACTTTAAAACCATGTAAACAAGACTATCATATAACAAATGTCCAGATGAACTGAACAGGTAATTTACTTTCAAGTTTCTTAAAATTTAAGATTTCAGAATGTTTCTTTGGGGATACTTAGAGATGATCCACCAGAATAAAATTTATTGCCTCCCAGAAAATAAAGGATAATTCAACCCATATATATTAATAATGTAGTGAATTACACAAATTGGATAAATTATAAGTGATTATTTTAACAGGTATAGGGAAAACACATGATAAAGCTATTATCAAGATAACATGTGACTGAACATTTTAAGCATGTAAAGGAGAGTACTGCAGAATCATCAAATGCCATAAATGGTATATACACCTGACATACCTGTGTCCATCTCCTTGTGTATGCAAAATGCGCTAAAATTGACTACATGCATCAGACAGGAACAGACACAGACACTCACATCTGTACCTTATGTAGAGAAAGAGTTTAAGCTGAAGGTTTCCATCAAATTTCTCTGCTCAGAGCTCAGAGAATCCCAGAGGAGGAGGTGGAACCATTAAGAGTCAGAGGAATTGAGGACACCAAGAGGACAAGAGTCTGAGAATCAACTGAGCAAGGAGCATGTGAGCTCATAGAGACTAACGTAGTAAATACAGGACCTACATGGGGCTAAACCTGGTCCACTACATATTTATTATAGCTATTAGCTTACTATGAGAACAAGTAGGTCTCTGACCCTTTTGCCCAGTCTTAGGATGTTTTTTTTCCTGTTGAGTTGCCATGTCCAACATCAATATGAAAGTTTTAGCTTCATCTTATTATAGTTTATCTTGTCAAGTTTATTTATCTCCTAGAAGCCTGTTCTTTTCTAATGAAAGACAGAAAGGGAATGGATCTCTAGGGAAGAGGATATGGGGAGGAACTGAGAGTAGAGGGATAGAAAACTCTAATCAGGAAAATTGTGTGAAAAAAACATTTGTTTTAGAAAATGACCATATGACCAGGTGTTGGTGGTGCAAGCCTTTAATCCCAGCACTTGGGAGGCAGAGGCAGGTGGATCTCTGTGTGTTCAAGGCCAGCCTGATGTTCAGAGCAAGTGCCAGGATAGGCTCCAAAACTACACAGAGAAACCCTGTCTCAAAAAAAAAAGGAAAAAATGACTATATGACTGTCAAAAAGAAAAAGTTGTCCATTCTTTCAATCATTTTTATGTAATATCAGATTTTGAATTATAATTAGGAAGATAAAAATATACAATTATTGAGGAAAGTGTCAAATCATTCTTATTTGAGCATCATGTATTTCTATATAGGTAAATCACAGAGTTTCACACAAAATATAAGCACTGAAAAAAACTGATTAAATAGTGATATGCATTATAATTGTTAAAATCAGTATTTTCCTATGGAAAAATTCCATTTTGTTCTGAGAATTAATAATAAAAACAAGCTCATTATCATTAACTTGAAAAAATCATCTAGCAATGAATTTAACAACAGAAGTGAAAGACTTCAATTGTAACTATTAGTTAACTGGTGAAAGAGTCTTAAAAGACAAAAATGAATACAGAGAGACCCTGTCTCATAAAACCAAAAAAAAGACAAAAATGGAGAAATTTAGTATACTAATGTGCCAGAAGAATTACTATTAGTATTGATATTAAAATGCGTATGTTCCCCATACCAAATAGCAACCCCAATTGCAACACCAATAACATTTTTTATACAAATGACAGGGAGAACCTAAAATTTTAATTCAAGTACAAGACAACTAGAACTTGAGCAAATATAAAGACAATCTGGAGATAACATAATACATTATTTAAATATAAACTGGGAACCCTTCAGTAACCAGAACACAATGACTCTGGTATGAACAAATTAATGAGAAAAGAGATTCGAGAAATTTAACTAGGTGTCTATATATAATTCTTCTTAATAGAGTTTCCAAACATATGTTGGAGAACTGATAGCATATTCAATGAATAATACAAGGATAACTGATGTCCACACGGAGATGATTCTATTTTATTCTTGTCTCTCATTCTAGGCAAATACTAACTCAAAGTCAATCAAAGACTAAATGTAAAAACAAAACCCTGAGCCTACAAGGAAAAACAACAGGGAAACACTGTATCATGAAACTGAATCTCCTATGGTCTATGAGAATGAGGTATCACATAAACATTTTGGTGGTCAGACCACTCTCCATTTCTGCATGTTATTTTCTTGTTGCCCTGCAGTTGGTACAAGGACTAGCACTGATATTCAACTCAATAATGAGTAACATGAAATTTTGTTAACTAATTTTGTATAAAAATCTATTAACCTTGCTTTATTCATATGTTGATATTTGGCAATCATGCACTTGATAAAACAATAATTACAATGTATGAATATATCATTATAAAGAGAAAAATATTGCAATTATGAAATTGACTTTCACACAATCTAAGAAAACAAGGTACTTGCATAAACATTTTGGTGGCTCAGACCACTCTCCATTTCTACATGTTATTTTCTTGTTGCCCTGCAGTTGGTACAAGGACTGGCACTGATATTCAACTGATGATGATGGTGGATATGCTGGTAATGGGAAGGAAGTGATATCTCCATTGTCAGTAGGTGGAGGAGGCCCACATTTCCCTGCTGAACATAAGAGCAAAGCATTTGAGTGTATGAGAGATCAAGTCAAAGTACTGGGTCAAGCAGAACCAAATAAAGTACAGTACTAAGGACAATATCAAGGCTTTAGTTATTTCCGTCTACAGAAATGATTGCTTGAAGAAAGCTTAATCACATAAACTGAGAAAATATGCTTAATTTTGAAGAACCTCTGAAAAAAAACACTGAAAGAAAAGATAAAAATAGTTAAGTAAAATATTACCTTAGCTGAGCGGCATGGAATGTATTAATAACTGGTACTGTGATTATGACAAACACCTCGAAAAGCATCTTAAGTAAGAGAATATTTTCTACTTGGTTTTTATTTGAATTAGAAACAAGCTTGTTTTACATGTCAATCCCACTTCACTCTTCCTCCCCTTCTCCCATAACTACCCCTCCCCCCCATCCCATTCCCTTTCTGCTCCCCAGGGAGGGTGAGGCCTTCCATGGGAGATCTTCGAAGTCTGTCATATCATTTGGAGCAGAACTTAGACCCTCCTTTGTGTGTCTAGACTGAGCGAGTATTGCTCTATTTGGAGTGGGCTTTCAAAATTCATTCGTGTACTAGGAATAAGTACTGATCCACTACAAGAGGCCCCATAGATTGCCCAGATCTCTAAACTGACTCACGTTGAGGGGGTATGGATCAGTCCTATGCTGGTTTTCCAGCTATCAGTCTGGGGTCCATGAGCTTCCCCTTGTTCAGGTCAGCTGTTTCTGTGGGTTTCTCTACCCTGGTCTTGACCCCTTTGCTCATCACTCATCCCTCTCTCCAACTGGACTCAAGGAGTTCAGCTCTGTGTTTAACTGTGGGGTGTCTACTTTTGCTTCTATCAGCTATTGGATGAAGGCTCTAGGATGGCATATAAAGTAGTCATCAATTTCATTATTGGAGAAGGGCATTTAAGGTTGACTCTCCACTATTGCTTAGAATTTTAGTTGGAGTCCTCCTTGTAGATCTCTGGACATTTCCCTAGTGCCAGATTTCTCTTTAAACCTATAATGGCTCCCTCTATTATGGAATCTCTTTTCTTGCTCTCCTCTATTCTTTCCCAGACTCAATCTTCCTGTTCCCACATATCGTCCTCTCCCTCTCTTTCTCCTTATTCCCCATTCCATCCCCAATGCTCTCAATTAGCTCAGGAGATCTTGTCCCTTTCCCCTTTTCCAGGGGACCATGTATATCTGTCTTAGGGTCCTCCTTGAGAGGATGTGAAGAAAGGGGAACACTCCTCTACTGCTCTTGGGAGTACAAATGTGTATAGCCACTTTGGAAATCAGTAGGGTGGTTCCTCAGGAAAATGGGAATCAGTCTATCACAAGATCCAACAATTCCACTCTTAGGCATATGCCCAAAAGATGCACATTCATACAACAAGGACATCTGTTCAACTATGTCCATAGTAGCATTATTTGTAATAGCCAGAGCCTAGAAGCAACCTAGTTGCCCCTCAACTGAAGAATGGAAAAAGAAAACGTGGTACATTTACACAATGGAGTACTATGCAACAGAAAAAAAGCAGTGGAATCTTGACATTTGCAGGCAAATTGATGGAACTAGAAAAAACCATGCTGAGTGAGGCAACCCAGTCACAAAAAGACAAACATGGTATGTAGTTGCTCATATATGTGAGGGGGAAGTCCTGTACATTTGTCAATAAAGTACTGTTGAGCCAATAGGAATCTAGATAGGTGGGACTAGGAGTCCAGGAGGATTCTGGGAAGGAGAAACACAGGAATTCAAGATGTAACCGCCATGGGGTAGGAAGCCCGGAAATTTCTCCGGTAAGAGAAATACCGGGTAAATACTTAAGTCAGAGCTAGCCAGTAAGAAACAAGCAAGGCCAACAGCTTCATAATTAATATAGCTTCCTGTGTGTTTATTTGGGACTGATGCGGCTCTAGAACCAGGCTGGCGGGAAAGCTTCTCTCAAAGAAAAAGCTTCTTTTTACATATATGGATTTTAGACATAGAGCAAAGGATTTATATTTGGTTTTGGCTCACAATTTGAGGGCATGGTCATTATGCTCTGGAAGTCATGTTGGTGAGAACATGAAGCAGCTGTGTCAGACAGCAGACAGATTATAGCTGGTGCTCAGTTCAATCTCTCATTTCTATGAGTCAGAGTCTTCAGTCCATGGAATGATGTTGCCCAGTGTAGGGAGTGTCTTCCCAATGCAGTTAGCCCAGTCTAGTAGATGCTCACAGACATACCCATAAGAATGTCTTCTGGGTGATTCCTGTTGATAGTCAGTACCCACTGTTACACTGAAATGATAAGTGTATGGTGTAGATTGGAGGACATCATTATTAGAGGATAGGAAGTCTCCCTGTTTAACTATAAGTCAAAGTTCTGTCTTTTCCTCCCATTCCCTTTAAATCAATTTCCTTACATTAAACAAGACAGTGTTTTTCTCTGAGATTATAAAATCAGACACCAGTTGACATTTTTTCAAAGCCCACCACCTCAGCTATTTCTCTCATCTATTTATGAATCGTGATAATCTATACTTGTTTATTCTCCATATCATCAAATTATGGACTAAAACATTAGGTTTAGGGTGTTCTCTCAAACTGCACTGTTGGTGTGTTCACTATCCTCACAGCTTCATGAAGATAATATAAACCAGCTCTAGAACACATATAACTTAAATGACAAATTAAACTATGCAAATATTTTATTTTTAACATCCATCTGAAGGCACCTCTCTAGCTTCTTTTCACCCTTTACCCTTCCTTCTGCTATTCTCTCTACTTTATATAACCCTTTTGTTTAAGGAAAGAGAGTGATATCAGAGGAGACATGATCTCTTTGAAGTAGTGGAAAGGTACAACTGAATAAGTTATAACAACTTCATTTTAGGTGTGTGCATTTTGTTAATACAAACTATGTTAAATAGGTTTCATTTATTTTGTTCACTATATAGCATCATATAATTCTATAAAAATAATAGTTAAAAAGTGTGATTATGTTATAGGAGATACACTAGTTATCTATTCATTTACTAAAACAGACAGGTTGACTAGCCCATCCATCTTCCCAGAGGTAGACCAGGATGAAATACTGTAAGAGCCAGAGGGGATAAAAGACACCAAGGAAACAAGGACTTGTAAACACTTCAGGCACATGTGAGCTCATTGGGTCTGTAACATTATGCACAGAGCATGCATCTGTCTAAGTAAATGTGTTCCCAGCCATGAGAAAGAAGAGGATATAACCACAGAAGCTATCTCCAATTGCTCACAACAGAAAAAAATAGTTTTCTCCAAGGTAGTCACACTGGATATACAAACAATGCATAAAGGCACGTCCCGTGCCTAGCAGTAGATGGCTAGCCCAAAACAAACTCAATGGCATTTTGCAGTTTTTTAAAAGTCTCTAGCATACTGTGTTATGGTTTGTTGTATGTTATGGTTTCAATGGCTGTGTTTATGGTTTCAATTATGTGTTTCTTTGGGTGCAAATTTGTGTGTCTCTATGTCTAACTGTGTTTCTTTTACTTGTTCCTCATCACGTTTTCTTGTTTATTTTGTCCTATTCCACTTTGCTTTTGTTTTGACTTATTTATATTTTTAGAAGCCTGTTTGGAGAGAGAGAGAGAGAGAGAGAGAGAGAGAGAGAGAGAGAGAGAGAGAGAGAGAGAGAGAGAGAGAAGGAGTGGGTTTAGGATGAGGGGAGAGAGGGATGATCTGGGAGAAGATGGGGAAATGGAGTTCATACACTGCATGAAAAATAAAACTTTTAAATTTAAAATATTTTAAAGCAATTACAAGCTTGCTATTTTTCTGTTAATTATTTTGGTAGATTTAATGATTCCCCCAACTGATGCTATGTTTTAAGCTCCCATGCCAAATAATATTACATTATAAGTCAAAGTAACTTCTGAATTGTGATTAACGATCTTTAGATAGGTGGTTATCTTGGATTATCTGCTATGACAGAACACAGGACAATGGTAGAGACAGGGATATTAAAGGGGGAAATGTTCAAATATGACAAACTACCAAGTTTGAAATTAGAGTAGGATGGTCCTCACCAAACAGTAGAATCTTGCTACTAAAAAGGCAGATGGAGAGAAACCCTCTTGGAGAAAATAAAGAAACCAGGGAGGCCAACACTTTGACTGCAGCTCAGAGACACTGTCTTGGACCTCTCTTCTCCAAAACCATAAGGGAATTGATTTATACTGTTTTACTCCACCAAGTTTGTAGTTTGTAGTGACTTGTACTGGTAGTCAGAGAAACAAATCCTATCTCACCAGGAAAATTATATACCATCATATGTGTGTGAGTGTGTGTGTGTGTGTGTGTGTGTGTGTGAGAGAGAGAGAGAGAGAGAGAGAGAGAGAGAGGGAGAGAGACAGAGACAGAGAGAGACAGATAGAGAGAGAGACAGAGAGGAGGGAAGGAGGGAGAGAGAGTGAGGGACAGAGAGAGTATTGTGTGTGGGTCAAAGAACAACTTATGGGAGTTCATTTTTCCTTCTACCCTGTGATTCTTTGGGCTCAAACTCAGGTATTTCAGGCTTGTCAAAAAGTGCATTTACCCACTGAGCTATCTTGCTGGCCCTCAATAAAGTTTTTATGTTTCACGAGACTTCTAATGCTAGAAAAAAAAGCTTTCTTGTTTTCCTCCAGTAAACACCATGAACTGATGTTTATAAATATATCCCATATAATCAAACCTGATGTTGTCTTTTTCAGTAATGGCTAAAAACCGACAGCCATGATGAAAATCATTACATTTAATTTTTATTTATTTTTTTGTAATATTGCAGCAGCGTTCTCCTTAATGTATATTTGTGCACCAGCTGCACACATGGTATCTTGAGATGTAAGAATATGGCATTGGAAAATCCAGAACTGGAGAGACCAGGGGTTGTGAGATCACACATGGGAGCAGAAAACCTCAGACCTCTTTAGGAGAAGTCAGTGTCCTTAAGAGCTAGTCCATCTCAAGTCCTCCATTTCCATTTTGAACATATGTGGGGTTTAAACTGAAAGAAAAAGGGATTTGGAAATCAGATTTTGCTCTGTTTTGAAACCTTCCCCCCAACGTATTTTATATTATAGCAAAAATAAAAATACAAAAGAGGTAGCCAGATGGTAGGTTAAGGAGTTATCATTGCAAGAGTATCTCTAATCACTAGGGGGCCAAAAGTAATGTTAAATCTAATGCAATATTTAAAGATGTCTATGCATATTTAATAACTCTCAAAATGTTCAAAAGCTCTTCATACATAACATTTGAATCTAATGATAAAAACAGGCATCAGAAAGAAAAAGATAAGAAGAGTAAGTAGAGACCTCTCATACTAGCCTCCCACTCAAAACCTATACCAGGTCCTGAAAATCATCAAAGAGATAGAAACTTTGTAGGAGAAAGATCCCTATGTTAGTGGCAGGGACAGTGAGCTGCAAGACACGGACACTGTGAGAGTGGTTTGCTGGGGTAGGAGACTCTTCACCAGAGGAGAAAGTGTGAACAGGACAGTTACAGCATACACCATTGGTGGGGTTGCTAGCAACCTTGTCACGGATCTTGATAACTAGAGAGTGACAGGGTTTGTATTACAACTCATGTGGGGTAAATTCCTAAAATTTGCACCTTAGCTTTGCTCCTGGGAAGAAAAGTATGAACCATTAGATGATAATAACTTGGAGGAAACAAAATTTGATCATTGATGACCCATTTCACAGAACCATGGGCTGCAAAGATGTGTGAGTGGACCAGCGAGACTTAAGGAGTATTACACCTAAATAGAACTATACTGAAGTCAACTGGAGGTGGTGTTTGATTCTTCCAATTCTGTAATTCTTTTCAAACTCTTCAGAACTATGGAGAGGGACCCCAGAGGTTGCTATTTATAACTACATACAGATGCCTATTTCTGAACATACTATATTTTTTGCTGTTAGTTATTTGCAAGGTGATAACTTGCTGTGTGTGATAAATGCAAAGATCCGTATGTTATTGTTTTATGCAACTCACAGTACTAGTTTGTTATTAGGAAGAGTCACTCTAAACGTATTTGTAGCTAGCAATTGTGACACTTGTCTGACATCTCAGCATTCTGGAGGTAAGGACAAAATGATCTTTATTGATTTCAAGGGAATGCTGGCCTATTAAAGTGAGGGTCAGGTTACCCTGGGATTCAAATAGTACCGCATGGTAAGTTTAAGTTTTGGGGCATGTTTTCATTACATTTGCAGGTCCACATAGAACCTTTAATAAAAATAATTTGTTTGATCAATCACCAGACACTAATATTCATTTTCTAAAGTATATGATTTACAATGCTGTTAATAATGTCAGGAGACCTTTACCCATATAGTGATCAGTTTAAATGATAATACTTTCATTAACATTTCCTCAAAATCTTTTGGGATTAAAAATGTACAAATTACAGTTCATGCTTATAACTCATTTTAGGTCTTTTTATTTCTTGTATTACTATGAATCGTGGTTTTGTGGAGAGAAAATGACTTTATCATGAGCAGTCTGTCTTCAAAATGTACTCATATGATAATTATACTTACTACATTCATATGAATTAGGCACATAAATCAGTACATTTGTATATTACCTTAGACATAACTGTAGCCCAAATAGAAATGGCTAGTGGCAAAACTCAGCCTGCAACAGTGAACTTGACTTTGAACATTGCAGATCATGACAGGATTATGAGAGCACAGTGTTGTACTTACTGATAGAAGTGCATTTGGGAGGAATTGACCAGCCATCTTCAGTGCATGTGAGAGTGCTCTGATTGTTTTCAAGGCTGTAGCCCTGATTGCAAACAACTTGTACAATATCACCTTGTAAGTGTGTTTGTTCTGAAGATGTAGAATTACCATTTTCCACAAAAGGAAAGAAACATAATCCTTAGGAAGAAAAAAAGAAGATTAATTCACAATATGGGAGAAATTAATAGAAACTTAGATTGCTTGTTGAAGTATTTTTAAAAGAATGACACCACTGAAACAGTTTCTGAAACATGCTGACTCCAGATAGTCAAGGATATGAGTTTTCCTCAGGGATGCCATGTCTCAACTTTTGAAATAGATTTTCAAATTAAATATTTTCCACTGATAAACATCTACATATAAAATGGTATTTTTGATATACATGATTTCTTTTATTTCTGAATGTTTCTTCAACAGCACTGACTCTTGCTATCTGCTTCACTAACCTATGTATCCTGTTTCCTCTCATTTTCTTTTAACGCACCTGTCCTCCTGGGGTTTGCAGCACACACGCACTGAAGGATCAATGTATTATAGATAACAAGTCTAAGGATGTAATGAGTTTTGGAAAATACAAAAGTAAAACACCTTTCCATAGAATATTTGTGAGAAAAGATAATTCACACACATTGAATGTATGAAGTGACTTTTTGCATATAAAAATCATGGCCAGGTTTCTATTAAGCAGATGTTTGACATGATCTGTTGTCAAATATATTCTCCATCGACTTTCAATTAGTAATTTTCTTTTGTAGATTACATGTTGATAATATATTCTCTATTAGATTTTCTTAAGAAAATAGCTCATAAAATAAAGATTGCGCCTGTCCCTTCCATAGCCCAACTCTGTGAATGTCCAGACTTCATAAACCCCTCATGAATGTTTTCTCTTTCTTCCCTTCAGTGCTCATCTAAGGACGGGCATTTACTCACTGAGACACTTTGGTGTTGGTGACCATCCTGCTTCTGTGCATGTTATTCGAGTCCAGAAAGAATTTGAAGGAGACGCAAAATTATATTCACAGGAGTAGTAGAAAACCTTCCCACTAAGAACAGGGGAATGTGTTTCATATTTCTTTTCATCATATAGTATTCCATGGCTTATTTTTGGAAAATCACAAAATCCCACTTGGAAAAATAAACCAAAGATAAATATGTAAATACCAATCATCACTGATGAGTCATCAACTAATTTTTTTGTATTTTATGATCATCTAGCTTAAATGGATATAGTTTAAGTGCCTTCTGGTGTATCATTTCATTGTTAAAGAAGGGTGACCTTCAATCTGCTCATAAATAAGTATAATAATTTCTCTATGATATCTACTACTGCGTTAATTAGTCAGCACTCCCTGAGAATGTGATTATTTCAGAATGCTATGATTAATAAATGTGAAGTTATACTTTGGACCAATGGGAATTATGAAGTTTTTGGCAGTATTAAAAAAGGTAACCCAACAGGATGTTTAAAAAACTGACAAGATGCTAGGGTAGAAACCTGACTGCATAGAAAGTTATGGCTGGATGAGAAAGCTATGCTTTGCCATCCTCCATTGTTCTTCTCAATGATGTCATTGACATGTCCACCAGGATTTTCTCTTGTGCATGCTTCAAGGGAGTAGTAAACTGCTGAGTAGGTAGTTTAGTATGATTATATAGTAACGCGATTTTTGTTTTGTCAAGTTGCTCAATAAACCTAATTTCTTTAAAAATAACAAGGCACAAAAAAAGCAGAAAGACCAATCCAATGAAGATAAAATTGTAGCCAAATTTTGCTTGATGTGGATAATTACATGTGGAGTATGCACATATAAAGGCCTACATACATTAAAACAATTAACATGTGAATTGTTAGATCTTATCATTATATTTTACAGTTTTGTACATGTATGCATTTCTAGACTTGTTTCAGGAAAGTTAGTCCACATGACATTCAATATAGCGAAAACATCATGTACTGCTCTTACATATACTTTGCACAGCTTCCCTCATTTTCTATTCAATTTTCACCCAGACTGCATAGTGTATACTTGGAATTTTGTCAACATTTTGTAGGAAGAACCTCACAAATGGCAAATGGAAATTTACAAATATCTTTATTATAGAAGATATTCTCTCTCCGTTTCTCTTTCTCTTTCTCTTTCTCTTTCTCTCTCTCTCTCTCTCTCTCTCTCTCTCTCTCACACACACACAGACACTCACTCACTCACAACCTGTTTGCCTTGCAACCTATTTGCCTGTTTGTGTTTTTGCTTTCTTTCCATGTCATAGTGTGCCCTGCTTGTGGATTTAGGTTCCTTCACAGTTTCCTTCCTGCCTAATGAAGCATAATATATAAATGTTTTTCTGCTAAACGCATGGAAAGTTTTCTGCATATATAAAAACGTTACTTTAGTTTACTGATTTTCTTTTTGTCCAGTATGTGGACAGGTAACAAAACAAAACTCAGTTCACACAGGTATTTGGCTTCAGGCAGCTTGTGATAGATTCATTGACTCTTTTTCCATGACTAGATTCTCCTTCAATTTCTTTTCCTGGGTCTATGAAAAGTCCTTATATCATTCATACAAATTTCATTTTCTTCATCTTCTTTCCTCCTTCCTATAAATTCCTTCTTAACACTATCTCTAACTGAGAGTTAAAAATACGTAGATGATCAGTGATGGTCTTTGAATATCTGACCTTTGATTCTGGTTTACCAGGTGTGCTGTACTGTCTAAAAAGTTGTATGTGATATCCATATTTTCTGTTTTGACTAACGTAGTTTACAAAGGATACAACAAGTCAAAGTAAAATAATAAATTGCAAGAGATGGATAGTTAGGTAGTTGGTATATATACCATATATATATGATAGACAGACAGAATGGCTGATAGCAACATCAAATTGACTCTTCAGAATAACCTGAAGAAATAGATGAGGCAAACTTTTATATAGCAGCCAGGTGCCTTTCTGAAATATAGAGCCATGAGTTTTCCAAGTAGAAAACAAAACAGAAAGGTAACATCAAATTTGCTTGCAGATTTCCCACAGAGACTGAGTAAATATATTAAGGCAGCCATTTGGATTCCCCCCATCTGGATTCCTAAGAAGAGCAGAAAAAACAACTGAAAGCTCAACCAGGGTGAATTTATCTATTGTAGGAAGGGGAGAAATGATTTGAAACTTCAGCTTACTGTTTCAACTTTCCTAGACAATTTCTGTTGGAAGTTATGAGCACCTGGTTTAATCATGTGATCTCTGTCTGCTGCTGTTTGTTCTTAGAAGTGTCATCCAAGAGGACTCTCAGAAGGGAAGTCCAGATGGTTGCCATAACTTAGCTGATGATCTCTCATCTAGTTGCCAGCCTCTTACTTGCTACATATTCTTTTACTCTGACTTGCTTCATTCCTAGTAAACTTATTCAAAATAAAAGGTGTGACTAGTATAGGTCATTCTCCAGACTGTATAAAATACCAGACACATAACATTTACTAGTAAAATATTATGAACTGAGCTAGCTATATTTAGGAATACAGGTACACAGACATACATGCATGCATGCACACGAGCACACACACACCCACACCATATATATATGCATGCAAAAACAACTAGTCATAAAATAGGCCAGGAGTTTGTGAACAAAAAGGTATATATGGGATGGTTTATAGGTAGGAAAATGAAGAAAGAAATATAATCTATTATAAACCTGAAATTTTTTAAAGTAAAAAAATGAAAGCAAACATTTTCTGTTATTTGGCATGATGGACTTTTTCTCTTATTAGGAGGACTGCTTTCTCATGATTACAACTCAAGTGAAATGTTGTAACAAAACAAAATGAGTTTAAATCTCTGAACTAATGTTACAAAATTTGTAAGGATGATTTTAAAAATAATTATCCTGTTCCTATCCTTTTCTCTTATGGAAGAAATAAAGAACTGCATAAATTAGTCTTTGTTTTATTTAAAGATTAGCAAAACAGCAGGAATTTTTTTCTGAAACCAGAGTCAGATACAGTGATGAAATTACAGAATTCAACTCCTTTGAGACATTGTTTGCGATTCCATAGATGTGTTGAAATTGTGAAACATGGAAAGACCCTCTTCAGACACAGTATCAATACAGAGGTAATACAATCTCCTTCTAATTTCTACATTTATTGGAGAGACAGGAAGAGAGCTAATTGTTGGCATTTTGGTGGTTTAAAACAAAAATAAGTGGTCTTCATTGTCTTATTAAAGATATTCCCATTTGACAAAAGATAATTTAATTGAAACAGGAAAAATTGCTCATTTTAGTAACTATGACGTTCAGACTTACTCAATCTGTGAAGACGAAATCAACCTCACACAGATTCACAGATGTTGAGAGTCTGTCCAAACCTTTGTCTTGGTCAGTAGTTTTGTTTAAGTATGATATCATTTTGAAAATTCGTCTTGGTAACATTTATTATTTATGCACTTAAAAATAAATTTATGTTCTCTCCAAATAGGTGATAATCAAACTTTGAAGTTCAGAAAAATATTGAAAACCACTTTTATTCAATTTTCCCTTTAATTGCTTGTCAAAACTGCATCAATAAATAGGTTGGTTTTTATTATTAAATGTGTTTCCTTTTCTCCACTTAAATTATTTTTGTAGTTTATTTTCTATTTCCAGTATTTTAAAATAAAAATTAAAATGAATGAAAATATTCTCATACACACACAACAGATAAATACATCTGACTAGAGAGTATATGTTTCAAATTTGTTTCCACTTACCTTCTCCCTTGGCAGTACAAAACCATAAGGTAAGAAAGACATTGGCTAAGACCAATATTCTAGACCACCCCATCTTCTAAAACCTAAAGCTCTCCAGCTGTGGTGGTAATTCTGGTAATTCTGTCATTAGCAGTAGTGTGTGTGACTTTGAAATACAGGGCATTCCTGGACACTAGTTTGGTAAATATCAAAGGTCACAAGAGAAGGGCAAAACAAACAATGTTCAGTATTTTCACATTAATACTCTAGGCTAATCATTTTACATTTATTAAACAATCAAATAGCATTCAATTTCTTTGTGCCAGTCTCCTTAATATTCAAACTGAAGTATTTAGAAAGAACGATGAGAGATTACCTTTCTTTTTGTCTTTGTAAAAGCATCATAGCTGGGTAGGACTGTTGGTTGCTTCTCTTTTCTGGAAGTTTCTGGAAATTTATGGTACCACTAATGCTAATCCTGAGTGAGCAAACTTTTAGGAAAACTCCAGCTCAGGGTCTTCCATGTGAAGTAATGCGCAGTGTCTTCCTTCAGCAGTAGAGACATATCTTTCATCTGTTCAGAGACAACCAATTGTAATTAGTAGTGTTTTGGATCCAACAACACAGGAGAGTGTTTCTCTTGCCTAGTATTAGTGTGTTTCATAGATTGTTTTTAGTTTTCAGAGAAAGCACTGTCAGCCTAGTAGGGAAATTTCATTTAAAATATGTATGTATATTCATACATGAATTATATGAATTATAGAATACGTATAAGATTATAGTTTTAGGAATGGGGTACTTCATAGCATTATTCCTTATGACTTTGTCATATATTCTTATTGTTATTTTAATCACCCTTTTGTAATTATGTCTATCAGCTCTATGTAGTTGGGGTCTCTCCCTTTTTTTTGACATTTTCTCCATCAGATAATTTGCATCCTGTTTTTCATATTTCCATTGCTCACACATCCTGTCAATGGTCTGTATTTACTTTCCTGGATTCTGAAGTTACTCGAGGAAATGAACTCAACTGTGAAGATTTGGAGTTAGGAATCTCTTACAAAAAAAAATAATTTGTGATGTTTGTCTTTTGGGTCAGGTTACATCATTCACTATTATCTGTTCTAGTTCTCCCATTTACCTGAAAAGTTTGATTGCAATTTTTTACAGTTCAATGATACTCTATAGTGAATATGTAAGTAATTTTCATGATCCGTTCATCAATTGAAAGACCTCCAAATGGTTGCTTCCATTCACTATCTATTGAAAATATATCAACATTGAAAATACCTGAGCAAATATATGTGAGATAGTACGATGGGAGAGTCCTGTGTATATGTTAATAAAGCACTGTTGGCCAAAAGGGAAGCAAGATAGGAGGGACTAAAATTCTAAGAGGATTCTGGGAAATGCAGTGAAGAGGCTGGTTGCCATGTGACTCCTTGGGGAAATGGATGTGGCAGGAGTGCATTCTAGCAAAGATAAGTTCTTGTAAAATATATATCAGTAATTATGGGTTAATAATCAAGTCAGACTTAGCTGATAAGAAACCAAGCAAATGGCCAACAGCTTCATAATTAATGTAGTGCCCTGTGTGTTATTTGGGGTTTCAAACAGCTTGACATGGCCCAGGTGACTGGCAGAAAAACTAAATGTTACATATAGTTATCAGGAATGAGTGAGATCATGAATTTCCATGTAAAATGACAAAAGCTTAAAAGGGATTTTATAAACAAAAGAACAGAGAGAAGCAAAGCTTGTTGGTAGCAGCATTTTCTCAGATGGGCTCTGTTTTTCTAGAGACAAGCAGAGACTGCAAGGCCAGTGCTGGTGGTAAACTTAAGCCCACCATCATGGAAAGAGCAGTTTAAAGAGCCGTGGTTTTTAGCAGAAAAGACATGTGGCCAGAAAAGCATAAAAGATTTACAGTAAAGTCAGATTCAGATGAAGAAAAAAACCTATAAAGGTTTACAGTGTGTTTAAAATATACATAGGCTTGAGAGAGAAAAAGAAAGAGGATAGTGGTAAAAGAAATAGAGAAGCTGGTTGTGGTGGCACATGCCAGTAGGATTTGTTTCAGAGGTAGAGGCAGGCAGGTTTCCAGAGAAACCCTGTCTCAGAGGAATAAATAAATAAATAAATAAATAAATAAAAGTAAAAGAAATAGAGTAATAATAATAAATAAATAAGCCAGGTAAAGATGGAAAATACACAGAGAGTCTGGATAGTGTATGCTATTGTGTTTTTCAGTTGTTTGATTGCTAAAGAAGGAACAACTGCTAAAGTACACTTGATTATAAATGCTGCTAAATTAATCTAACTTACATATTTTAAAAATGCTTTGACTTCTAAATTTAAATATAAGGACAGGTTACTTGGAAAAAGAGTTTTTATTTATGTTTCCACAGAAAATGGAAAGCTGTGGATTCCTTCTAGGCTTCTGTGGTTTGATGAAGCAAGACCTCCTGAAGCAATGTCCCAGGCAGTCAAACATCTAAAACAGCTGAGATGATACAGCTTTAAGGACTACAAAAATCAAAGGCTTGGCCAAGTTTCTGGTTTTGTTGTGATCCCCATGGTATGAACAATGTCCCTATCCAGCAAGAAGCAGTTTGGGATGAACTATGCCCAACTTCCCAAATATTGTTCATTAACTTCTGTTTTCATTTAAGTGGGGTTGCTTATAAATGGTAATATCACAGTCAATCTCTTCTAAAGGGAAAAAAGGGAATATGATATAGAAATGAGTACTTTGTATTGGTATGGTTTTTCATTTAATGATACAAATTTAAGGTCAATTTTGTGATATGTATATTTCTCCTCTTGTTTAGGTATTGTGTTTGTATAAGTCATTTAAAAATGTAATGTATAATTAAATACAGATTATAGATAGTTACCTATAATAGTCAGAACTTTTAACTAGGTAAGTTAGGTTTTCTAGATATACAGAGATGTATTTAAGAAAGATAGTCTTCAAAACTTTCAAAGACCGTCAGAAAATGGCGTTTAAAATGGTTTATGGTTTTTCTTGACAATGAGAAATATCTGTTCCTGGCACACCAATTATATCTGAGAGAAAGACAGCCATCGAAGAAACTTGTTATGGTGTTTACTTTCAACATGGCAAGATTAGACATTTGGGCAAGAAACTGCTCTAGCCTGGACTGCTTGACTGTTGCTGTATAAACTGGACATGCAGGACCCAACAGGAGTTGATGGTAAGTCCTGTGTATAAGTCAATAAAGCACTGTTGGCCAATAGAATAGGATTCTGGGTGCCTGTTTCTGCTTCAGTCAACTACTGGGTCAAGGCTCTAAGGATGGTAACAAGGTAGTCATCAATCACATTATAGGGGAAGGGCATCAAGGGCATCCTCTCCACCACTGCTTAGATTCTTAGTTGGGGATCTATCATTTCCTCTGGGTCTGACCTCTCTACACCTATAGTGGTTCCCTATGTCAGGGCATCTCCTTTCTTGCCCTCTTTTATTCATTCCCAGTCTCAGAACTCCTGTTCTCCTCCCCCCTTCTCCCCTTCTCTACTTTCCCTCTCCCACCTGCTCCACCCCCCATGCTCCCAATTTGGTCAGGGGTTCTTGTCTCCCTTCCCTTCTTCGGGGGGACCATGAGCTTTTTCTCTTGGCTTCCTCCATGTTTTCTAGCTTTTCTGATGGTGTGGAGTGTAGTCTGGTAATTCTTTTCTCTATACCTAAAAGCCATATATGAGTGAGTACATACTATGTATTTTTGTGACTGGGTTACCTCACTCAGGATGGTTTCTTCTACTTCTATCCATTTGCCTGCAAATTTCAAGATTCCATTTTTTTCTGCTGAGTAGTACTCCATTGTGTAAATGTACCACATTTTCTCTATCCACTGTTCAGTTGAAGGCTATCTAGGTTGCTTACAGATTCTGGCTATTACAAACAATGCTGCTATGAACATAAGTGAACATATGTCCTTGTATGAATGTGCCTTCTTTGGGTATATGTCCAGGAGAGGAATTGTTGGATCTTGAGGTACACTCACTCCCATTTTCCTGAGAAACTGCCATACTGATTTCTAGAGTGGCAGTACAAGTTTCTACTCCTACCAGCAATGGAGGAGTATTCCTCTTTCTCCAAATCCTCTCCAAGATAGACTGTCATTGATTGATTTTAGCCATTTTGGCTGGTGTAAGATGATCTCAAAGTTGTTTTGAGTTGCAATTCCCTGATGACTAAGGATGTTGAGCTCTTTCTTAAGTGTCTTTTGGCCATTTTAGATTCCTCAATTGAGAATTCTCTATTTATTTCTGCACCCACTTTTTAACTGGATTACTTCGTGTTTTGGTGGACAGCTTCTTTAGTTTTATATTTTAGAGATCAGCCCTCTGTCAGATATAGGGTTGGAGAAGATCTTCTCTCATTCTGTCAGCTGCCATTTTGTTTTGCTGACTGTGTCCTTTGCCTTTCAGAAGCTTCTCGGTATCAGGACGTCCCATTTATTAATTGTTGATCTCAATGTCTGTGTTACTGGCATTATGTTCAGGAAGCATTCTCGGTACCAATTCATTCAAGGGTGCCTCCCACTTTCTCTTCTAAGAGATTCAGTGTGGCTGAAATTATGTTGAGGTCTTTGATCCATTTGGATTTGGTGATATATATGGATCTATCTGCAATCTTCTACATGTCTGCATCCAGTTTTGCCAGCACCATTTGTTGAAGATGCTTTCTTTTTTCCATTGTATAACTTTAGTTTCTTTGTCAAAAATCAGATGTTCATAGGTGTGTGGGTTCATGTCAGGGTTTTCAATTTGATTCCATTGGTCTACCTGTGTATTTTTGTGCTGATACTAAGCTGTGTCCAGGACTACGGTTCTATAATAGAGCTTAAACTCAGGGATGGTGATGCCTCTGGAAGTTTCTTTATAGTACAGGTTTGTCGTGGCTATCCTGAGTTTTTTGTTTTTTCATATAAAGTTGAGTGTAGTTCTAGCAAGATCTGTGAAGAATTGTCTTGGAATTTTGATGGAGATTGCATCGAATCTGTAGATTGTTTTGGCAAGATTTCCATTTTTACTCAGTTTATCCTACCTATCCAAGAGCATGGGAGA